GAAGCGACAACGGAGCCCCATCCGGTCATAAGTCACAACGGAGCCTCTCTTGATGGTGCTCCGTTATGGCCGGATGGTGCTCAGTCTGGAACGCTCTCTTTGGAATTATGATAATCATTATCATTATTATTTTTATTATTATTATTATGCTAAAAGCGATTCAATTTGTGGCCCTATTGAGTCTTCTAAGGAATCTAGAGACATCGATCTAGAGCCATAGGAATAGCCGGCGTGCACTGTGGTGTGGGTGATGGCACGCTCCACCACACTCTCCCTTGAAATACACAAGGAAGTCACAATGACGTGATCTATTGATGCAAAAAAACATTTGGAGCAATGCGGGGATCGAACCAGCGAGCTGGTGAACACCAGCCGCGTATGCCATACCCCTAGTCTACGATATGCTATAAAGCTATTCAACCTTGGGGACCCTACTGAGTCCTCCAAGGAATTCTGAAGACATCGAGCTGGTTGGGCACCCCTAGTTGTGCTTACAGGGGTGACTCTAGGGTGCAGGACTGGCCCCTAGATTCACCCAGTAGGGACGATCAGTGTAAATGACTGGCACCCGAGTCACCCTGGGGGCAGGGCTTGGGTGCAGGGCTGAGGTGCAGGGCTGGCACCAGTTGACGGTGGAGGCGGGGCCAGGGTGCAGGAGCCGCGTGCCCCACAACCTGACTATTGCATCGTGAACATCAGTAAATTCCAGACGGAGGCACCAGACCAGGAACCTCGCCTGATAAGACGACCCAAAAGCAATTAACTTAATGGAAGATATATCACCCAAGAACCAACAGAAAGACTTTAACCCAATAAATTTTCCTAATCGCAACAAAGTTTGAGATGAAAATAGCACTTAGCAATCCTTTTCTTGTTTCCCCATTTTTTTTGTTTGCTTCTGGAAAAACAATAGACTGTGCAAGCGTAAACCATATTACAGGCACAGTAGTTACCTGCTGCACTTCACACTACGTAATACAGTGACAATAGAGGAAACTAAAGAGGGTTTATTGGACCATGAGAGGCAGCTCTTGTTTCACTCAAACCCAACTCGCTCTTATATGGATAAGAAGTGATTATATAATTCGCAGCAGGAATACAAATGGTTTACCAGCAACCATGGCAGTGCCAGAGGCAACCATGACAGTGCTAGAGGCAACCATGACTGTGCTAGAGGCAACCATGGTAGTGCTAGAGGCATGGCAGTGCCAGAGGCAACCATGGCAGTGCCAGAGGCAACCATGACAGTGCCAGAGGCAACCATGACAGTGCCAGAGGCAACCATGACAGTGCTAGAGGCAACCATGGTAGTGCTAGAGGCATGGCAGTGCCAGACGCCACCATGACAGTGCCAGAGACAACCATGACAGTGCCAGACGCCACCATGACAGTGCCAGACGCCACCATGACAGTGCCAGACGCCACCATGACAGTGCCAGACGCCACCATGACAGTGCCAGAGGCAACCATGACAGCGCCAGAGACAACCATGACAGTACCAGAGGAGCACCGTCCGGTCTCTGACCACCAAACACACACTCACACTACAATTCCCAACTGCTACTTAAAGTATACATTCACACACGATTTGTTAGACAGTTCCACTCCACCTTAATAACAACAAACCTGAAACAAAGGAGCAACAAAGTTTACTGTTATGCATAACGCCAACATTCTCAAGGTTCTCTACCGGCGCTCCATCGTGGAGAACCAGGTGGCGGCGTCTGCAACTCAAGGCGCTCGGTAATTAGCAGAGCCTAGAGAGAGAGAGAGAGAGAGAGAGAGAGAGAGAGAGAGAGAGAGAGAGAGAGAGAGAGAGAGAGAGAGAGAGAGAGAGAGAGAGAGAGAGAGAGAGAGGGGAGAGAGAGAGAGAGAGAGAGAGAGAGAGAGAGAGAGAGAGAGAGAGAGAGAGAGAGAGAGAGAGAGAGAGAGAGAGAGAGAGAGAGAGAGAGAGAGAGAGAGAGAGAGAGAGAGAGAGAGAGAGCGAGAGGGAGAGAGAGAGAGAGAGAGAGAGAGAGAGAGAGAGAGAGAGAGAGAGAGAGAGAGAGAGAGAGAGAGAGAGAGAGAGAGAGAGAGAGAAGAGAGAGAGAGAGAGAGAGAGAGAGACAGGAGACACCACAACTTGTATGATCAACACAGGTGGTGTCAGCAGGTGATACCTGCCGTCAAACTTACTCCCCTAATTATCGTACACTCATCAACACTACCAAAGGGGTGTTATCGTTTCTGGCTCAGTGATGAGTGTATTTACCTAAGTGTAACTACCTAAGTGTAATTACCTAAGTGTAGATACAGGATGAGAGCTACGCTCGTGGTGTCCCGTCTTCCCAGCACTCTTTGTCATATAACGCTTTGAAACTACTGACGGTCTTGGCCTCCACCACCTTCTCACCTAACTTGTTCCAACCGTCTACCACCGTGTGTGTGTGTGTGTGTGTGTGTGTGTGTGTGTGTGTGTGTGTGTGTGTGTGTGTGTGTGTGTGTGTGTGTGTGTACTCACCTAGTTGTGCGGGGCTTGAGCTCTGACTTTTTGGTCCCGCCTCTCAACTGTCAATCAACAGGTGTACAGATTCCTGAGCCTATTGGGCTCTATCATATCTACATTTGAAACAGTGTATGGAGTCAGCCTCCACCACATCTCTGCCTAATGCATTCCATCTGTTAACTACTCTGACACTGAAAAAAGTTCTTTCTAACGTCCCTGTGGCTCATTTGGGTACTCAGTTTCCACCTGTGTCCCCTTGTTCGCGTACCACCAGTGTTAAATAGTTTACCCTTATCTACCCTGTCAATTCCTCTGAGAATTTTGTAGGTGGTGATCATGTCTTTCCTTACTCTTCTGCCTTTCAGTGTCGTGAGGTGCATTTCACGCAGCCTTTCCTCATAACTCATGGCTCTTAGTTCCGGGACTAGCCTCGTGGCATACCTCTGAACACGAAGCGTTCCAGTGTGGTGTAGTGGACGAAGGTGGGGTCGTCGTGGTGTTTGGCTGCGATGTACCTGTTCCATTCTTCCTTACACAGGTTCCTGAAGGCAGTTCTGATGTTAGCCAGCCTCGCATACGCCGCAGATGTTATTATTTTTATGTGGGCTTCAGGAGACAGGTTTGGTGTGATATCAACTCCTAGATCTTTCTCTCTGTCCGTTTCATGAAGAACTTCATCTCCCATTCTGTATCCTGTGTCTGGCCTTCTTTTTCAACTGCCTAGTTTAATTGCCTTACATTTACTTGGATTGAACTTTAATAGCCATTAGTTGAACCATTCATTCAGTTTGTCCAGGTCATCTTGTGTGTATGTATGTGTATGTGCGTGCGTGTGCGTGTATGCGTGCCCGCCGAGGGGTGGGGTTCGGGGAGCACCTAAACACCAGGCAGGAGAGCGGGGGTGGGGGGGGGTTGAGGCTTGGCCGAGCATTTTTTGTTCATATTTAGAACTAGCTGTACCAGGCCACGTGTTGCTGTGGCTCAGCAACGTATATACGTTGCTGAGCCACAGCAACCTTCCCCGTCCCCCAGTCTTTCCCGCCATTCCCCACTCCCCCGTCCCATGAATTCCCAAATGATCTGATGTTCCCATCAGAACAATGGGAACATCAAATGATCTGATGTTCCCATCAGAACAATGGGAACATCAAATGATATGATGTTCCCATCAGAACAATGGGAACATCAAATGATCTGATGTTCCCATCACTGAAATATAAGAAAAACAGGTAAAAAGACGAAATGAAATGCAATAACAAAAATACAAAATAAACTATACTCAAGAAATGAACAGTATGGTAAACAACACAGCTCAATTCCAAAGCACACACAATCGAAATGAAAATAATTCGAAATCTATGAAAATTCAATTTATCGATGCAATCGGAGACATTGAAATGGAATCATAACACATTTAGTATAGCATGTGTTGCTCTTACGTGCAACAGACGACACTGTTTTTCAAAGCAAAACAACGTTTTTATCTGTCACATGTATGGCATCTATATAGTAGGTATATAAAAACATGCGCCTATTTGAATGCAATGTTGTGTCAAAATTTCAAAGCAATCGTTGAAGAACTTTCGGAGATTACAGCTTGTGTTGCTCTTACGTCCAACAGATGGCGCTGTTTAAAAAAAAAACGCATGTTTTTTCCTGTCACAGGTGAGGAATGTACATAGTAAGTATATAAAAACACGCGCCTATTCGAATTCAACGTTGTGTCAAAATTTCAAAGCAATCGGTAAAGAGGTTTCAAAGATTTCCGTGACATGAAAAATACATGAAAAACACAGTTTATCAAAAAAGCGGATTTTTTCCCGTCACAGACCTGACATCTATATTAAATGTATATAAAAACCCGCTCGGATGTGAATGGAACGTTGAGTGAAAATTTCAAACCAATCGGTGAAGAACTTTCGGAGATTAGTGATATTGAACAAACGAACATTTTCATTTTTATTTATATAGATGACAATATGAGAGAGACTAAGCACTTCTCCATCACTTGGTCCCCGTATTATGGAATGAACATCAATTTAGTTGACCGAGGATGGAAATGATGTCAAAGATAACCTCAGGAACTAGAAACCTTCCTTAATAATGAAGGAGTAACTCACCTTCTCAGACAGTGAGAGAGTGTCTCTTGCACTTCTCTCATTCACCTCAACACAGCACATGTGTCTACTGTGTGAGACGGGACCAAGTTGTCTCAGTCTGCCATCGTACCTCAGTCCTCGCAGCTCAGGTGGTACACAGCAGTGTGAAGGTGGTACACAGCAGTGTGAAGGTGGTACACAGCAGTGTGAAGGTGGTACACAGCAGTGTGAAGGTGGTACACAGCAGTGTGGAGGTGGTACACAGCAGTGTGAAGGTGGTACACAGCAGTGTGGAGGTGGTACACAGCAGTGTGAAGGTGGTACACAGCAGTGTGAAGGTGGTACACAGCAGTGTGAAGGTGGTACACAGCAGTGTGAAGGTGGTACACAGCAGTGTGAAGGTGGTACACAGCAGTGTGGAGGTGGTACACAGCAGTGTGAAGGTGGTACACAGCAGTGTGAAGGAGGAACACAGCAGTGTGAAGGTGGAACACAGCAGTGTGAAGGAGGAACACAGCAGTGTGAAGGTGGAACAATACATCAGCCACAACACAGCAGCAGTCACAACTCAGCAGCCACACCACAGCAGCCACAACACAGCAGCAGCCACAACTCAGCAGCCACACCACAGCAGCCACAACACAGCAGCAGCCACAAAACACAGCGTGGCTCGGACACAGGTGGGGTGGGAATGTGAAAGGTTCAACTGTTCACGGCCCTCCGGCACTTCTGAATTTCCCTCTCACTGAATCAACGAATAATAGGAGGTGGGGGGGGGGGGGTAGTGATTGTTTGTTTGTCTCACCCACATGTCTACCACCATCATGGTCCCCCCCACATGTCTACCACCATCATGGTGCCCCCCACATGTCTACCACCATCATGGTGCCCCCCACATGTCTACCACCATCATGGTGCCCCCCACATGTCTACCACCATCATGGTGCCCCCCACCCACATGTCTACCACCATCATGGTGCCTCCACCCACATGTCTACCACCATTATGGTCCTCCCACCCACATGTCTACCACCATCATGGTCCCCCACCCACATGTCTACCACCATCATGGACCCACAACATGCCCATGGACCCACAACATGACCATGGACCCACAACATGCCCAGGGACCCACTACATGCCCATGGACCCACAACATGACCAGGGACCCACTTCATGCCCATGGACCCACTACATGCCCATGGACCCACAACATGCCCATGGACCCACTACACTCTCTCTCTCCCCCCCGCCCCCCCCCCCATACACGCCACACTGAGTCAAGACTTTTTTCACTAAAATAAAGTTAGAAAAAACAATCACATGCATGTGTGTAACTTATACAGTATACACCCGACCACCGGGAGTATACACCCGACCACCGGGAGTATACACCCGACCACCGGGAGTATACACCCGACCACCGGGTGTATACACCCGACCACCGGGAGTATACACCCGACCACCGGGAGTATACACCCGACCTCCGGGAGTATACACCCGACCACCGGGAGTATACACCCGACCACCGGGAGTATACACCCGACCACCGGGAGTATACACCCGACCACCGGGAGTATACACCCGACCACCGGGAATATACACCCGACCACCGGGTGTATACACCCGACCACCGGGAGTATACACCCGACCACCGGGTGTATACACCCGACCACCGGGTGTATACACCCGACCACCGGGAGTATACACCCGACCACCGGGAGTATACACCCGACCACCGGGAGTATACACCCGACCACCGGGAGTATACACCCGACCACCGGGTGTATACACCCGACCACCGGGAGTATACACCCGACCACCGGAGTATACACCCGACCACCGGGAGTATACACCCGACCACCGGGAGTATACACCCGACCACCGGAAGTATACACCCGACCACCGGGAGTATACACCCGACCACCGGGAGTATACACCCGACCACCGGGAGTATACACCCGACCACCGGGAGTATACACCCGACCACCGGGAGTATACACCCGACCACCGGGAGTATACACCCGACCACCGGGAGTATACACCCGACCACCGTGAGTATACACCCGACCACCGGGAGTATACACCCGACCACCGGGAGTATACACCCGACCACCGGGAGTATACACCCGACCACCGGGAGTATACACCCGACCACCGGGAGTATACACCCGACCACCGGGAGTATACACCCGACCACCGGGAGTATACACCCGACCACCGGGAGTATACACCCGACCACCGGGAGTATACACCCGACCACCGGGAGTATACACCCGACCACCGGGAGTATACACCCGACCAACGGGAGTATACACCCGACCACCGGGAGTATACACCCGACCACCGGGAGTATACACCCGACCACCGGGAGTATACACCCGACCACCGTGAGTATACAAATGGTCAGTATGTCTTCACATACCTGGCAGGTGCATGACTCAACATGCTGCAGGGTGCATGACTCAACATGCTGCAGGGTGCATGACTCAACATGCTGCAGGGTGCATGACTCAACATGCTGCAGGGTGCATGACTCAACATGCTGCAGGGTGCATGACTCAACATGCTGCAGGGTGCATGACTCAACATGCTGCAGGGTGCATGACTCAACATGCTGCAGGGTGCATGACTCAACATGCTGCAGGGTGCATGACTCAACATGCTGCAGGGTGCATGACTCAACATGCTGCAGGATGCATGACTCAACAACCTGCAGGGTGCATGACTCAACAACCTGCAGGGTGCATGACTCAACATGCTGCAGGGTGCATGACTCAACATGCTGCAGGGTGCATGACTCAACAACCTGCAGGGTGCATGACTCAACAACCTGCAGGGTGCATGACTCAACATGCTGCAGGGTGCATGACTCAACATGCTGCAGGGTGCAGGACTCAACAACCTGCAGGGTGCATGACTCAACAACCTGCAGGGTGCATGACTCAACAACCTGCAGGGTGCAGGACTCAACAACCTGCAGGGTGCATGACTCAACATGCTGCAGGGTGCAGGACTCAACATGCTGCAGGGTGCATGACTCAACATGCTGCAGGGTGCATGACTCAACAACCTGCAGGGTGCATGACTCAACAACCTGCAGGGTGCATGACTCAACAACCTGCAGGGTGCAGGACTCAACAACCTGCAGGGTGCATGACTCAACATGCTGCAGGGTGCATGACTCAACATGCTGCAGGGTGCAGGACTCAACATGCTGCAGGGTGCAGGACTCAACAACCTGCAGGGTGCATGACTCAACAACCTGCAGGGTGCATGACTCAACAACCTGCAGGGTGCATGACTCAACATGCTGCAGGGTGCATGACTCAACAACCTGCAGGGTGCATGACTCAACAACCTGCAGGGTGCAGGACTCAACAACCTGCAGGGTGCATGACTCAACATGCTGCAGGGTGCAGGACTCAACATGCTGCAGGGTGCAGGACTCAACAACCTGCAGGGTGCATGACTCAACAACCTGCAGGGTGCAGGACTCAACAACCTGCAGGGTGCATGACTCAACATGCTGCAGGGTGCAGGACTCAACATGCTGCAGGGTGCATGACTCAACATGCTGCAGGGTGCAGGACTCAACAACCTGCAGGGTGCAGGACTCAACATGCTGCAGGGTGCATGACTCAACATGCTGCAGGGTGCAGGACTCAACAACCTGCAGGGTGCAGGACTCAACATGCTGCAGGGTGCATGACTCAACATGCTGCAGGGTGCAGGACTCAACAACCTGCAGGGTGCATGACTCAACATGCTGCAGGGTGCAGGACTCAACATGCTGCAGGGTGCATGACTCAACATGCTGCAGGGTGCAGGACTCAACAACCTGCAGAGTGCAGGACTCAACATGCTGCAGGGTGCATGACTCAACATGCTGCAGGGTGCAGGACTCAACAACCTGCAGAGTGCAGGACTCAACATGCTGCAGGGTGCATGACTCAACATGCTGCAGGGTGCATGACTCAACATGCTGCAGGGTGCAGGACTCAACAACCTGCAGAGTGCAGGACTCAACATGCTGCAGGGTGCATGACTCAACATGCTGCAGGGTGCAGGACTCAACAACCTGCAGAGTGCAGGACTCAACATGCTGCAGGGTGCATGACTCAACATGCTGCAGGGTGCAGGACTCAACAACCTGCAGAGTGCAGGACTCAACATGCTGCAGGGTGCATGACTCAACATGCTGCAGGGTGCATGACTCAACATGCTGCAGGGTGCAGGACTCAACAACCTGCAGGGTGCAGGACTCAACATGCTGCAGGGTGCATGACTCAACATGCTGCAGGGTGCATGACTCAACAACCTGCAGGGTGCATGACTCAACATGCTGCAGGGCGCATGACTCAACATGCTGCAGGGCGCATGACTCAACATGCTGCAGGGTGCATGACTCAACATGCTGCAGGATGCAGGACTCAACATGCTGCAGGGTGCATGACTCAACATGCTGCAGGGTGCATGACTCAACATGCTGCAGGATGCAGGACTCAACATGCTGCAGGGTGCAGGACTCAACATGCTGCAGGGTGCATGACTCAACATGCTGCAGGGTGCATGACTCAACATGCTGCAGGATGCAGGACTCAACATGCTGCAGGGTGCATGACTCAACATGCTGCAGGGTGCATGACTCAACATGCTGCAGGATGCAGGACTCAACATGCTGCAGGGTGCAGGACTCAACATGCTGCAGGGCGCATGACTCAACATGCTGCAGGGTGCATGACTCAACATGCTGCAGGATGCAGGACTCAACATGCTGCAGGGTGCATGACTCAACATGCTGCAGGGTGCATGACTCAACATGCTGCAGGATGCAGGACTCAACATGCTGCAGGGTGCAGGACTCAACATGCTGCAGGATGCAGGACTCAACATGCTGCAGGGTGCAGGACTCAACATGCTGCAGGGTGCATGACTCAACATGCTGCAGGATGCAGGACTCAACATGCTGCAGGGTGCAGGACTCAACATGCTGCAGGATGCAGGACTCAACATGCTGCAGGGTGCAGGACTCAACATGCTGCAGGATGCAGGACTCAACATGCTGCAGGGTGCAGGACTCAACATGCTGCAGGGTGCAGGACTCAACATGCTGCAGGATGCAGGACTCAACATGCTGCAGGGTGCAGGACTCAACATGCTGCAGGATGCAGGACTCAACATGCTGCAGGGTGCAGGACTCAACATGCTGCAGGGTGCATGACTCAACATGCTGCAGGGCTGCTCGATTACGTTAGGCTACCTTAGGATCGGATGTTTTAGTACACCATTTCCTGGCCGCTGTGGCAACTTGAGAGGACGGGTTGACTCATCATCAGAGAGACCTTGTCCTCTCTACAGGGTGCCCCCCCCCCCCTCTCTCCTCACATGGCGCAAGCCTCTGAGGTCACCAGCTTAGGCCTAACAAACTGATAGTTATACAACCAGTAAATGATACAACCACGATAGTTGTAAAGTTAAATTATAGTTAAATTATAAAGTTTATTTTCAGTACTTTGCAAGTGGTAAAGAATGACTGAGGTGTGTGAAGTCAAGGGACCGCCTGAAGGCTTCACTACACATCTGGCTCCAGTTTGTTTTTGTGCTCAACATATTTGGATAATTATGTCAAGCTTATTCATACCTACAAATCACCAGCCCCAAAACTGATTTATTTACTGACCTGGTGTCAATATA